TTGTTGGATCCTTGTCATGTGTCGTCATATGTCGTCTGCCAGTGCCTTGTGTTCCCTGTGCTGTCCTGCTGGATTTATTATTAAATTCTTCATAATCATCTTCATCTGGGTTCCTACGTTCTACTTCACCACCACCAACCACACCAAATCATGACAATCAGCTTGTAGAGCAGGGCATCAAACTCATTTTCATTTTGGGCCACATCAAAAATCTGAATGTCCTTAAAGGGCCGGTTGTGCCAGAATGTATTGATAAAACCCAGTAAGCTGTGAAAATATTAATAAACAGCTGTTTGTTTCAGCATTCAATAATATTGAACATTGATTAGTCCATTCAGGATTTTGTGATTGTTTTTTTTTTTTTTTTTTTTTTTTGCAAACAAAATCAAAAATTTTTTGGGGCGAATTTCTAAATGTTTGTAAGGAATTTTTCACAATATTTGTTCTAATGTGACTTTTTATTGATCACCTTATGAATCACTTGACATGAAGTAAGGCTGAGGCGGCAGTCATTTAAACCCAATGTCTTGATCAATTTTCAGAAAAATTTGTAGTAAAATCAGAGAAAAAAAAAAAGAGGGGATCTGTTGATTTTATGTTAATTTTATGTTAATTTTGCAGATTAAAAAAACTGGAGGGGCATATTAATGTATTTGGAGTCTAGAGGGCCACTTAAAACCCTATGGTGTGCCAGATTTGGCCCCTGGGCCTTGAGTTTGACACGTGCTGCAGAGTGTCATTTAACTGACAAAAGGTTGAAGATTCAGGAATCAGGTTCCAGGTTTTCCAAACTCAAATTGTCTTGATCCAAGATTAATTGGAGACTGACAGACTAGTCTTATTATTAATAATAAAACATACATATTTTATTAAACTGGTTTCAGGATTGCTTTGGAACGAAGATCAGATGAGCACTTCAAATGTTTGCAGGAGTCAGAATGGTGTCACTCAGAGGAACTCTACATGTGAGTTGTGGATCTGTGAAAAAGGAGCAGAATCACAGAGCACAGCAATGAAGAGAACTCACAAAAAGTGTCAGGACTTTTTCTGAAAATGTTCTGCCACCATGAAGCTGGGTAACAAAGTCGTGTAATCCGGCATTGTGTGGAAGTAGAGGACGAGTATTAACAGGTGCGCCTGTTCCTTGCCTCTGCACATCAGAGACACGTCGTGCGTTGAAAGAAAACCGCCATCACACTTTCATTAATCGGCCTAACGTTTCATAGGCATAGGGAAATAAGCTGCTTTGGTAAATAATGCTCCTGCATCTCCCTCTCTCACAATTGATGCTGTAACATGCACCATTTGATCTGAAGCTATGAGCCGGCTAATGTTTTTTCTTTTTATTGGTTGTTAAAGGAATGTTAAAGAATTCCACATCAGAATGTATGTGAGGCACATATGGTGCAAGATTTATGCTAGAGCTACTCAGATGTTGCAGGATTGACCCAATACTAACATCACTTAACTGTCAGACGCTCTGTCCACAATGATTAGGCTTCACTCATCAGACAGACCTACTTTCTGATGATCAGTTCGAGTTGGTAACTCCATTCTTAAAATGGAGAAAAAAGTCAATAAAATGATAGCGGCAAAGTATCCCACCCTGACTCTGGTGGAACACCAGCTGCGTTTCTAATTGTGCAAATTGGGATTATGAAAATAAATTTGCTTAATGGAAACGGAACAAGTTTTTATGTTAGGATAAGGTGGATTTCAACTGTATTTGTTTTGCAAAACTGCAATGGAAACACTTTTTTTCTGCATCACACGAGTCAAATGATCAACAGCCAGATGTTACTACTGGCTCAAACCGTGAAGAAGACAACAGGAAGTAGTAAGAGGATGATGGATTTAAAAAAAAATTATTATTTTTTTGGTCAATATGCAGGCGGCTCCACCAGAACTCTCACAGCATCACCGTTCATAAGAACTTGTGTGTTGAATCCACAGCTCTTCTGTAAAATGGCCGACTACAATTCCCCCAAAATACCTCATATGTACCTGCTCCCGAGTAGGCGGGGCTTGTCGCTCTAACGCCAAATAAGACACCGATTTCTCCTCTGATTGGGTGATAAATGATGAGCACTAGCACCATGTCTGAATTATGATAAAGCAGCAGGTCTTTAATGTATTGTGATGCTAAGCTGTTCAGTGATTAAAATACTTTTCTTATTTTATACAAGTCTAGTTTGAGCATGGCTCTGGTAATGGATGCAGTGTTGATGTGCAGATTAATGCTCTGATTGTCTCTGCAAAGAAGTTGGCAAATTCATGTCAGGTCTGTCGACTGCTGCAGATAAAACTCAAGTATTGTTAATGTTTTCGTTTATGGTTTCTGCAAAGAACATTTCCCTTGCATGTTTTTGTGTGGTTAGCTACGCAGTCTTTCTTTATAAATTTCATAATAAATGTGAAGTTGAGTTGTAGTTTAGTTTACGTTCAACAAAGTCGTCTTGCTCATCTGTTTGTACATATCTCCATGGAGACTTCTTCCTAACAGACAGAACCTTCAGATTAATGGGAGCAATGATGCTTTAAATTTTAGAATGGATGTTATCTACCAACACATCTACATGGTTACAGTATCAGGGTGAGGAGGAAGAGTATAGCTGATTAAAAGTTTCTGCTGAAATAAACAAAGATTTGCACACATTTGTAATGGAAAGAAACTCAAGGCAGAAAATTAGTTATTAGAATCACCAGTATTCATTCACACTAATGGGTCTGTGGGATCTGAGAGGATCTAGTTTAGGATTTCTATGCTGATGTTTCCTCTACAGAAATTTCTTGTAGCTGTTTTTGTTTTTGGTTCTGTGGTTCTTTAAACGATTGGAAGTTGTAGAGGCAAAGAGAACTCATTGGACTTTACATACTCTGCTTTTATTTTACATTAATGAACAGGTCCAAGGATGTTTTTTTTAAATATATCTATAGATGTAAAGGGACAGAAAAAGCTCTTGTTGTTGACAGCTCAAAAACATTTCACTGCATCTATTTTAAAGCGACATGGAGAAAGCTTCTGGAGGTCTTAATGGAGTTTATGAATTGCGTAAAACTCAACAACTCCAACCTTTTAAAAGCCTTCCTTCAGTTTAAGGAAGCCTGCTGTTTGTTGTTGTAGGGGTGAGAGGAAAGACGCGGGGTGTGTGTGAATGCGTACATACAGGAGGCTCGTGTGTGTGTGTGTAAATGCTGCTGTGTGCTGTTTTGAACCAAGCTGCTGGAGATGGCATTTTAGAATGCACGGCAGAGCGGTTTCCCTGTCTATGCTTTTCTTTTTCGTTTTTTTTTTTTTTTTACACCTTCTTCCTCCCACATGTGGGGTTGACTCCTGTCATGCTCTACTGCCTGGTTTCCGTGCTGCGCTGTGTGTGTGCGTGTGCATGTGTGTTTGTGTGTATAATCAGCATTTTGTGTGTGTTGAATGTGGAGTTAAGCTCATCTAGGCTCTGGCTGCTCTGTCTATATATACATGACATCATTTATGAAAAGTTTTCAACCAGCTTAAACCTTTTGACTTTTTTGCATGAGTACAGCCACAAACTGCAGTGTGTTTTATTGGATGTTGTGAAACACCAACACAAATTGGTATATATTTAGGAAATTAATGAAAATGGTACAATGATTGCCCGATACTTTTAAAACCTGCTTTTACTACCATTATGCATCCTCTGAGGTATTTCTCTACCAGCTTTGTACAGACGGACATTTTAGCACGTTCTTCTCTGCAACATTGCTCCATCTTCCTTGGACTGGATGCTTCTGTTATTATGTGTTTTTAAGTTTTGACCATAGGTTCTTAATTGGATAGAGGTCTGGACTTTAACTGGACCACCCTGATGAAGTTGCTGTGATCTAAACTGTTCTTTTGTAACCCTGGATGTATGTTCTGTTGCCATCCTGTCCTCCGACTCAAGTATTTTCCTCCTCTTACAGGTTTTATATCAGAGAATGCTTTGTATTTGGCTTCATCCATCTTCATATCACCTGGATTAGATTTCCTTGTCTCTGCCAAGAAAAGCATTCCCACTGCATCATGTTCTTACTTTGTGAATGGGAGTGTTCAGTGTTATATGTCATGTTAGATTTATGCCTTCTTTAAAGTTTTGATTGTTGAACAAAAGTTTACTTTTATGTCTGATTTGATTACAGCATTTTCTGTGACTTGTGCCAAAGTAGAAACAGGCTTTCTAATGGCTTCCCTTCTGTTGAGGGACTGCCTGGGATGATTCATCTGCTTAAAGACGAACTAAAATATGATTATTCTAAAACATGTTTAATCCTTTTCTAGGCTAAAGAAGGTTCTAATATTTCTTTAGCCTTCGAGAACATTCCTTAGCCATCTATAACTTTCTTTGGTCTTCTAAACCTTTCTTTAGCATTGTACATCTATCTTTACCTTTCTAGAAAATTCTTTAGCCTTCTAGAGCTTTCTATGACTTTCTTTAGCAGTCTAGAACATTCTTTAGCATTGAGCACTTAGTTGCATGTTCTTGAATTTCCACTAATTACTAATTGGATACATTTCTCATGACAAATTCCTTCATTTCCCATAATCCAGATGGGTGCCAACAAGTTTGACCAGCAAGTTTGAGCAGCTAGCTGGACGCGTTGCTCTGTTTCGTCTCCACCAGGGAGACCCACTGTGACTCTCAAACTGATCCTCTTGGTGTCGCATACAAAGCAGTTTGACGTGAAATCAGTTTGTCACCGAGCTGTTTCCTGTGTGAAACCATATGTGGTCGTAAAATTTTACTTTTGCACAAACGTTTACAGATTTATTCATTTTCCTTCACGGCTATGCACTGGTCTACCATCCAAAATGCTACGAAAACACATCGAAGTTTGTGGTTTTCACAGACTAATGTGGCTAATATCCAGAAGCTGTAATGGAGGTCAGAGGCACAACCACCCAGACCTCACTCTTCAAGACATTTTAGTTATTTCCTGACTTGCCACTTGTAGTGACTCATCCTTTGATTTCCTTTTCTTCTCAGATAAAGAAGTCCCCACAGTCCCTCTCTCAATTCAGTCTCCAGTGTTGACAACAGCCGGTACAAGGGAAGATGGATCTAAAGGTAAAACTTCCAGCCTCGCAGCAGGAGGTTTCCTGCACTCTGTGCTGGCCCAAAGAGGACGCCTCGTCTCCAAGAAAGGGGAGGTCATCCCCTCTGCGCTGCCCCAGAATCTGCTTCCTCTCCTGGGCAGAGGACTCAGTGTCAACTCCTTCCATGGAAGCAACCCCCAGGAGCATCAAAGCGAGGGATTACCGTCGAGGGCAAAGTCCCCAGCATCAGCTGCGGCGTCGGGCCAAGGCAGCAGTCCAAGCCAACCGCCGTCCACAGACACACACTCTCAGCTGCCTCACACGAGGACACACACACCTGAACCGGAGGCGGAAATAACCACTATACCAGACGTGGACACTGAAACGCCTTTATCAGGTATGTGTCACAGTTAAACTGACATTCTGTCTGAAATACTTAATGAAATTGTATTTTTTTTCTTTCAAGTTTTGGAAAATGTTGCGTCTGAATGTTTGTGTTGCAGCAATTTGTGCGCTCTTTATTAGCCCAGCAAACCTTAAGAACATGGAAGAGACTCAGGACAAAAGACACCGTTTGAAGTTAAATGACATTTTTGCAACAATAAATACCGTGGGTATCTGAAAATGTTTTTGAACACAATTTTCTTTCATTCTTTCAGTGTTGGTTTTTCTATGAAGTGTCAGTTTGAATTTCCTTTTGAAAGAAACACAATAATATCTCCAGTGCCTTTCTAAACCTGAAAAGCTGTTTTATGCAGTTATTATCATCTTAGCATAGCTAATTTTTACTATTTACATGAAGAGATCCACTATTTAAATCTTGTGTTTTTAATATGGCGTTTTGGTTCAGTTTGTAGAGAAATATGAGTTTTTTTTACCATGAAAGCAAACTGTCAGTCACTTTCTTCTTGGATTATTTGCTTTCAAACCAAAATTAGCTTTTCTGTACTACAAAAAATATCTAAAATGTGCTAGTTTAAGTGCTACATTAATCTATACTACCAAACATTAAAAATCAGTGACATAATCAGTATTAAAATCTGTCTAAATTCAGTCCAAAGGATAATTTGGACTGAATAATCATCACTTTCCTAAAACAGTAAAAAAAAAATTCACAAAAAGAAAATAGTGTTGATTTTTATTTATTTATTTATTTATTTACCAAAACCACTTTTGGCAAAAAATAACTTTTAGCAAGGTAATGATTAAGAATGCACCGATTGAAGTTTTTTGCTGATTAACGATCTTTAAAAAGCCTGACCTGCCGATTGTGATTTGGCCTTTTGTTTTTATCAAAATCTTTAACAAAATCCATTTACATTTGGTTAAAAATCTGACAAAATGCTAAACTATTTAGCTTTTGACAAATACTGTATCAGTATGAAATGGAAATCCAATTTTTTAAAATGAATGTTCCAGCTTAACTTGAAACAAATACTACTTAAGGTTGTATTTTTTTACGGTTTTCTTACAAACCGTAAGAAAAGAACGGTTTGTAATGTAATAATGAAGTGAAGTGCAAGAATCCTAATAAGGAGAGAATTATGTGACTCGGTCCAGCATGGAGCTTCCGAAAAGCCTGGGAGAGAAGAAGAAGAGTGGCTATTTACCCTGAGCCTGTTAACGTCCCGGAGACCTGGCTGCACCTTTTTCCTGCATACTGCTTAAAATCCTTGTAATTTCTGTCTTTAATTACACACAGCAGGGATTTCCAGAGTGGTTCCAGTTAGAATGCCATTAAAAGGGATTACAAGCGAATTCAACAAGGGGGGGGGGATAATCTGAACTCTCTGCTCTCTCCTCCAGCTGCATCCAGCTGCATGGTGAATTTCTCTGACCCAGAGGGATACATAGACTCCTCTGACAACCCGCCTCTGCCCGACGGCCTCTTCCTGCACTGCACCTACACCGTGACCGTGTACACCGGCTACGGCGTGGAACTGCAGGTGTGTGCGCGCCCCTCAGGGAAATCCCACGGCTGCAGAACTGCAGCCAGGCTGGGACGTGTTCGCAGCCCGCAACAGCGTCTAGGTATCACAACTAGAGCGGCTTTAATGGAGGATGCTGCAGTGTTTGTGCTCTGGTCGTTATGTTGGATGCCTTTAGTCTGGAGGCTGACTTCTGCCTCCTGGTGGCGGCTTGTCGTTTCTGAATCAGCCAAGCAAGACGGGCAGAAACTGGAATTCCTCAAATGGAAACATTTGATGAAGGGAATCTGTAGATCCAGTTCGAATGTCACAAACATGAGTCATTTCTGACCATTTGTAAATTAGGTTTCCTATTTGGGAAAGGTTGACTGTTTTAAAGGGGCAGTATTGTGCAAAATCTTTTTTTTCTTTTTTAGCTTTATATCGTATTATTATGTTATTTCCTGTTGTCATGATTCTTCTGTGCATGTTTGAGGAATCCTTGAGTTTCTCATAGAAACCATTCATGGAGATGAGCTCATCATATGAACTGTCTCAGTCTAACGCTCCTAAGAAGGTTATAAACTGACTGGAATGGCATTATTGCGATAATAAGCAGAAGGCCGAGTGTCAGAAAGACCAGAAGCTTCTTAAAGAGACAGAGGCCCAATTTAAAGATGTCAAAATCAAATTTGTTTTAAGTCATATCTGATATGTACAGCATTTTGGTAACAACTCAACATAATTCTGCCACTTTAAACAAAAAGAAAACGAAATGCTTTCTGTGGTTTGTTTTTTTTCCCCCATCTCCAATCATCTCTTATTGCTGCGGTGTCTGACTGCCTCCCCGTTGCCTTCCTGCGTTTCCAGGTGAAGAACGTAAACCTCACGGACAGCGAGCAGCTGTCCATCAGGGGCATGGACGATCAAGGCGCCACGCTGGTTCTGGCCAATCACACGCTGCTGGTGGAAGGTCAGGTGATCCGCAGTCCCACCAACTCTCTGTCCGTCTACTACCGTTCGGCCCCAGAGGGGAGCATGGGCCTCTTCCAGCTGCACTACCAGAGTAAGTCGCCACGCCACACAGGCACACAAACGCAGCAAAAACCTAATCATGTGTTCATACAAACCGGTTATGGAATTATCCGACAGCCCTTTCATCGGGCTGTCTGTGCTCTCTAAAGTGTTAATTGCATAATCAAATACCTTCTCATTGAGTCACTCAGCACGGTGATTGAATCTGTCATGTGAATTAGCTGATTACCGCTCTGATTAATCGTCTCTCGGCTCATTAGGAGGCTGAGGACACGGCGAGTGTGTGTGTGTGTGTGTGTGTGTGTGTGTGTGTGTGTGTGTGTGTGTGTGCGCGTGCGCGTGTTCATGTTTGTTTTCACATGTGTCTGATGACGCGGTTCTAACATGCGACGAGCATCGGAGGGGACATCAGAGCGCCGGGCCCACCTGTGCTGTTAATCACAGCCGTCTCATCGTTTTGCGCCGCTCCTGTGATGGAGCTGACTCGGATCAAAACGCTGCATGCAGAGGAAGATTTGTGCGCGATCAAATAAGACGTGAGAAACAACAAAACCGAAATTAACAGGCGAGGAATATTAATCCCATCCAGCCTGAAAAGCGTATTAAGGCTTTTTCAGATGATAATGTACCTACAGGTGAATGGGAACTCTGTGTATAAGTGATTCTGTCAGTGATAAATAACAGGAAAATCATTTAAAGCATGAAGAAGTTAACAATTCTGAAGAGAGAAAGCAACATAGGAAGCTATAAAAAAAATCCAATGCCATCCTTGGGATTCTGCTTTTTACATATATGGGCCAATACAGAACCAGTATTTAGATTCAGTATTCTTTATTTATTTATTTGAATATAATTGTCAAAATTGTCAAAAGAAGAAAAAAAGATAAATGTACCATATTTGATGGAGCTTTCCATTGAGACTTTTAACAAGTTTTTTCCTGTATTTTCTACTTCAAGTCTACAGCTGCGTTTCCACTGACCATGAAATTGCACAACTTGACATTTCAAAAATAAATTCACTTAAAGGAATGCGCAAGTTTAGAAAAAAATCTTGTTTTTCCATAAAATATTTTGACGCTGTAGGGTGGATGGTTTTATTAGCTGTTTCTAAATTGGTTTATTTTGATAAATAAGCCAATTTATTTGTTTTAAATAAATTAGAAACTTTTTTTTGCATCACACAAGTCACATGATAATGTGACTCGTGTGACATACCACATATTGAGAATGTGGTATGTGCTGCTATATCTACATTTCCTAACAAGCAAACTGGCACAAAGTTTATATTTCACATACGGAGAAACGATGTGCAGGGGATCGCTATTTTGTGAAGTGAAAGCAACAAAAGAAGCTAAAAGGAATTAAAAATCATCTTTTTGGTTTTACGTTTGGTTTCTCTGGTAACCACAACACAGATCTGGTCAAACGTCAACAGTGAATCTTTTTCTTTCTCAGTCTTCAGGCTGAGTTGCTCACTTCCGAAGAGACCTCACTTCGGGGAAGTGTCGGTGCTGGACCTGCTCCCTGGAGGCGTAGCCAGCTTTCACTGCCACATGGGTTATCACCTGCAGGGGGAGCCACAGCTCACCTGCATCAATGCCTCGCTGCCGGTCTGGAGCGGCAAGGAGCCGACCTGCAGGGGTGAGTACGTATGTGTGTGTAGATTCACAGCATTGACTCGATCCCAGGACAGTTTAAGGCGTTGAGTTAGTGTCCCATACTCCAGTGTGTGTAAAGCGTGCCCTCCTCCCTGTAGCTCTTTGTGGAGGGACAGTGAAGAATGCAACGGTGGGGCGGGGGCTGTCGCCGTCCCCCCACCACGGACCAAACGCCACTTTGGACCGTTCCTGCTCCTGGTCCCTGGAGGCACCGAAAGACCAAAGACTACATCTGCACCTGGAGAGGCTGGCCCTGGGGCCGACCGACAGGTAGGGGCCAAACAGGTGGGACCGACAGGTGGGAACCCGTTTATCCCAGGTTCATGTTGAGTTTCAAGTTGTCTAAGACCATGTTGTATCCATTTACAAACACCCTCTGCTCCTTTAAATGTCTGTTTTAAACAAGATGTGTTTACTTCACCTCACACCTGGTAGTGCGGTAGACTCGGTTTGATTGGGGACCAAAGGTGCATCATTTATTACAGTTTCAGTCGGTGCCGTTCTCTTTCACATTACACTGTTAAACAATCCAAACTATTAGGAAAACCTTGTTCCTCTCTTCACCTGTGTTGGCGCTGCACCAAGAACCACTGAAGGAAACGACACAAAAACCTTTGAGGAAGACACAAAATATAAACAAGATGGAGATTTTAGCAGTTGTAGGATTTCTCTTTTGTCTTTGGTACCAGACAATGACCTATTTCTCCTGCTGGTGCTGGACTCATGCCTCTGTTTTATTGCGATTTACCCAGAATTCCCTGCGCTGTAGTCCGCTTCCTGCTTGTGGAGCAGTTTCTGGTTCACTTGGCGTTCACATATGCATTCCAACCAGACCAGAGGTCACTGCAACCGAGATAGAGACCGAGGTTTTTAGGCAGACCAGAGTTTACTGTTTTGGTCAACATCAGAGTTCAATTATTCATTCACACCTCCACAAACAAACCGGGTCAAACCGGTTTCTAGGCAAACTGACAGGAGTTTGATTAAAGAGGACAAACCATGGCTGGTGTGAATGCAGCCTTAAGTTCTTCAACGGATGAGTCTGACATATTCTGCTGATCTGTTGTGTTTGCCTCCCTTCAGGCTGGTGTTGTGGAGCGGCCTGGGCGCTGGCTCTGTGGTGCTGTTCGATTCAGGGCGGGGGGGGCAGATACCCTTTGAGGGGGTGATCAGCGAAGGTCCGGCTGTGAGGGTCCAGTTCATCACCGATCAGCCCAACCATGAGACCGGGTTTAACATCCGCTACGAAGGTAGAGGGTCAGAGGTTACAGATAAAACACATCACACACACACAGGCTGGAACACTGCTGGGCCCCGGGCACAAACATGTCCTACCAGCGCAGGTGGTTGATGCAAATAGAGGCTTTTCCCCCCCAATTTGGACAAAACAATGACCCACAGATTAAAATCATCTCTCAGAAACGTTGAGTACAACACAAAGTCTTCTCCATCTTTTACTAACCAAGCTTTCTGCTTTCCCTTTAATTTCATGGTAGACTGGATCACGTCTGTCCATTGACTTCTACACTAAAGCAGATTTTGGTGCCTCCAAATCTGCTTTTAATTTCAAATAAACATTGAGCTAAATCATATAGTTACTGCTGAGAATGCACTAAATCTGTTTCAGGTTTCCTTAACTGACCCTAACATAAATGAATCAAGTGGTTGCCTTTCTTTTGTAAAACCCTCTTGAGGTTTTGGATCTACACTGATTTACACATTTCTTTCTGACAAAAAGGAATTGTCAGAAAGGAAAGGGAAAAAATTGTCCCTTGAGTACTCTTGAGTTGACAATTTTTGGCTCACGCTGTGGAAAGTTTGGACACCCCTGGCTTAACGTGATGTTCTGCCAAGCTGCTTTCTGACGGACTGCCAGGGACGGAGCTGCTGATCCGCAGAGGAGGAGATAAAGTTTCTGTTTTCTGGCAGCTTGATGTTGCCAAAGCATGATGACGTTTCCTCTACCATCTTAATCCAATCACTGGACATAAAATGACTAATTAACTAAGACTCATATTTCCAGTAAATCAGCAGAGACATTTTTTCAGAATCGCGCACGCACGCACGCACGCACGCACGCACGCACGCACGCACGCACGCACACACACACAGTGTTCCTGACATCCTTCTTTCTTTTTGCTGTTTCAGCTTTTGAGCGTGGCCACTGCTACGAGCCGTACCTCCAGAATGGAAATTTCACCACATCTGACCCCTTGTACGGCGTGGGAACGGTGGTTCAGTTCACTTGTGACCCCGGTCACTCTTTAGAGCAGGGCCCTCCGGTGATCGAGTGCATAAGCGCCAGGGACCCGTACTGGAATGACACGGAGCCGCTCTGCAAAGGTAAAAGAATGACCTTCATGTTGGAGGTTTTCATCTTTTTACTCTAAATCATAGTCTAAAACTCATTAGTCTGAGTAGGGGTGAATTGTTTGGTGTCAAACGTTGTGATTCCAGGCAACAACAGAAAGAAGGAACACAAAAAGCTTGAGAAAAAGAAAAAAAGGCAAATAAAGATTGAAACAGAGACTTGAGATTGTTTTTTCATCTGAACTATGATGTCTGTTAATGCTGACATTATTCAGCAATGGTAGATACCATTAGTAGATAGTGTAGATAGTGTTTTATTTCAGCAGTTTTGTTTCAGCTTAATCACTTATGATAAGTTAAAGTGACAGGCTAGTGTATCAGACAGAACTAGCAATCAGTACATCTGTAGTTGACACTGAGGACTGTCCTGTTACTAAATTGTCCTCATCTTCCTGTCCTCCGTCTGTCCCGCTGCAGCTCAGTGCGGCGGGGACCTGACGGGTCCAGGCGGAGTCATCCTGTCCCCAAACTGGCCGGAGTGGTATGGAGAAGGAGAGGACTGCAGCTGGAGGATACACGTCGGCGAAGACAAACGAGTGCTGCTTGATGTTCAGCTGTAAGGAAAACACATCGTTTACTTGACAGAGAGTCAAATGGGCACGTTAGTTAATTACTTTAGAAAAGAAATTAACTGTCAGTTGGAGTTTAACTTCCAGATAAACGTAAAACTCTGAGTTTAAGGTAAGAGAGGATGTAGCTGATGGTGGATGAACTAGTGGTTCATCCACCATCAGTTGGAGCATAAGCTCGGTTCCACCAGGTGTTTGCTAATTACTGCTGGCTAGTGTGAAGGAGCTGAGTGGGCGAGTCGTTGGGGAGGGAAGCAGAAGGTTGGAAACTTCAACTCTGAGGAGGAGCTTCATCCTTGAAGGCGGTGCTAGGTCTCACCAAGTGTTTTACACAGCCAAATGGTTGCCACAGGAGATTAAAGAAATAACATTACAATGTTATAACATGATGCAAACCTAAAAAAAAACAAAAACAATGTTACATAATAACATAATACCTTTCAGTGAAGCACATCCTTTATTTCCCTACTATCGGACAGTAAAGGACATTCTGGGAAGGTTGAATCTTTTATAAATCACAATATAATTCTTTAGATGGAGAGTTCAAGTTCAAACAGTTTGAATTGCTTCTTCACACAATTCAAACAAAACCCCATTAAAAACCTTTCAGCAAATGCGAAGTTATTTTTTGGCAGAAATATGTCATAAAGTATTTCATTTTCCCTGTCTAACCTCGGCTCTCGACGCCCTCTGGGGGTGCTAAACATGTCAGATGCTCCCACAACATATTTCCAGACTATTTAGCATTTCCCCATTAGCGTTTAGCTCATGGCGTTTCTGGTCTGCAGTGCATTCAGTTGTCAACATCTGCTCTCCGAGGCCTCCTGACCAGCTGCGCTGTTTTCTCACTTGTGGCGATTCTTCTTCCTCTCACCCTCGCCATCCTCAGACTAAACATCAGCGACAGCGACATGCTGACCTTCACGGACGGCGACGAGGTCACGACCCGGATCCTGGGGCGCTACGTCGGAGGCAGCAGCCCCTTCAAGCTCTCGTCCAGCACGCCGGACCTGACCGTCACCTTCCACTCTGACCCTGCCGGCCTCGTCTTCGGGAAGGGGGAGGGGTTCATCATCAATTACATCGGTAAGCGCTTAGGAACTGTTAGACCTGGACCCACATCTGATGAAGGAAGAACTTTTACAATTCTTATCCATTATAAACATTTCAGTTATGTGTTTACTTCAAGACATGCTGATTTGTTTGCCAGTTTTTGAGTATTTTATATAATTCCTTTGTACAAAACGTATCAAATCAACTCCTAATACATTTTAATGCTGATTGTTATTTAGGAGTCTCAGCTCTGTAGTTTTGGGTCATCAGGTTTGTGTCTGAGCCTGGAGGAAGAGGAGTTGTTTCCTCCTGCTGCTTCAGAAACAGCAGGACTGCACTGCCTCTTGGAATGACTTTATTACAGGATTTGGTATGAAGGTTTCTGCCATTATTTATACGAATTCAGACAGATTAAAAAAGAGCAAACTAATAAATCCTTACAGGACGAAATAGCTATGATCATAATAAAGGAGCAAACATATTAAATTTAAAATATCTTATCTTTTAAACTCTTTCTTAGAAGGAAATGAAAGTCTTACAAAGTTCTTCTTTGGCCTTTAAAAAAAAGAGGAACGTGATTAAGTGGATGGGTAATTACAATATAAGTATATCTACAATTTAAATCAATAAAGGCTACATAGAAAATATAAAAAAGCCCAAAACTTTGAGCTCAGAAGATTGCAAAATCTGACTCCTTCACGTTGTGTTCCGTTCAGATCCAGAAATTGCTATTACATAAAGTTACTTCAAGATTATTCTACTGTATGAAAATGTAACATTCTAAGTTCTCCATATAAGTGAATAATGGTGCTGGTGATTTTGGTGAATTCTCCGTGACTCTAATTGTGTTTCCATTAAAAATGTGCGCAAAATCTTTGTCTCTGTTCAGCTGACGTAAAAAAACAACAAAATATCACTATTGCTGTGATTACATTAAATATGAAATGAAATTAAAAATCACACATGAATTAAGCTTGTTCCTGCCATACAAGTTTATATCATTGCTACGACTGATGGCAGCGGCGGACGTAAACAGTTAAATGATATAAATTCATAATTCTGGCGCTTCTGGCGCTCATCTTCTATCATCCAGTCAGAGAAGACATCAGTGTTGGATTCAAGCGTTGGAGCGACAAGCCCCGCCCACTTGGGAGCGGCTATATGTTATTTCTTTTTGGGGAAACTGTAGTGGACTAGAGGAGCTCTGGTGGAGCCAGCTGCAAAACAAAAACAAATCACCACCATCCTCCTGCCACTTCCTGTCGTCTTCTTCGTGGTTTTTGCCAGTAGTAATGTTGATAATGTTTCTGGTGATGTGAAAAAAGTGTTTCCAAGGCAGTACATCTATTTTGGTACGGTAAAAGAACCAACTCATCCTAGTGCAAAAACTTTTTCGCATTTCATCAAAATCCACTAAACAAATTTATATTTGGAATTTCTATTTGCACAATGTTCTTAGTGGAAGGGCAGCTATTGCTTCATCCTTAAAAAGGACCAGGAGGCAAGATATTTTCTTCCACAAATACATTTATTTATTAATTTGTATATTCAGGAGAAAAAAAAATACAACATAAGTAACAATCTAAAATGTTAAGGTTTCTTTAAAAAAAATACAAAAAGTGCAGAAAAAAAAGTCCTCACTGGAACACATTCAGAAATCTTTTAGTTATCTTTCAATTCATTTCAATTTTTCCTCAAGCCGCCTCTTCCTCCTCCTCCGTTTTTCCATTTTCCCTTTTTGTCCCTCTCACATTCTCATTTGGCTTTTCTTCCACTTTCCCTCTGCCCTTATTCAATCACATCCTATTTGTTTCACCGATCGCACAATGACACTCGTTCACATACAAGTGTGGGCTTTCAGAGGCGGTGGCTTCCTCTGCTCACTCGCCTGGCGTGATCGGCGCCGCGTCCCAGATCCAACACCTGACACCAATTTAGGCGCGCACTGAGACACACACGGTTCAATTTACTTGTCACCCTCTCGACACCACAAACTCCCATGCCTTTCCCAGAGGAGTAAATTATGTAGCCACAACAACACGAGGCTGCGCTCCTTGAATAAAAGCGAGTATGTGTGCTTGTGTGTCTGCGCTCCAATAATAAATGACACGCCGTAAAATGTTCAGGTCGCATAGCAGAGGAAGACCAAGTCAATAGAAAAAAAAAAGATAAATTGATACCGGAGCTTCAACTTCCAAATCCCCGCAGCCCCGTTGGGCTGAACGGAGTTCTGCAACACTGTAAGCCAACAGTTCAATCATCTGATGTACGGCGGGAACAACGAGATGATTCCATTTGACCTAGACCAGGGGTGCCCAAACTTTTTGAGAGCAAGATCTACTTTTTCTCTCACCAGCCGCCTGAGATCTACCTCATGACACAAAGACATAAAAATTACAAATTAAACTCTATTGACTTATTTTATATGCGAATATGCATCAGTTATAGCAGAAATAATAAAGTGACAGAAAACCTGATCCAGTTTCTTCCTCAGTGAGATTCTGACACTGGGAGCAGGTTACTGGTTTCTCAGTCAGAAGCTGGTTGCAAACCTGACGCCAGCAGGTGTCAGTCAGTCATGGTGGACCTGAAAGTTGGGATATAATTAAATTTCACATAATTATCGCGGTAGAATTAGTTAAAACTTAATGAAATACATTTGTCCTATTTGATGTTTGTTGTGACGTATACTCACAAAGAACGAGGTAATTAGTCCAAGTTTTGTCGTTTATTGAACATTCAGAAACTACAGCGGGTGTGATGAGCCACAGCAAAGGTAAACAAAGGTAAAACAACCCGAACAGGTGATCAACTCTAAACCACTCCTACCTTTTTACTTTCTGTCTCTTTGTCGTTTAAGCCACCCGTTGCTGTGGCAACCGCCTGCACCCACAAGCCGAGCAGAGATTATGTTAAAAACACAACATTCAGTCTGTTACGATATCAGGTTTCCAGGCTTGATATTTATTCCTCGATTATTAATAAGCCTCTCATGAACACAGCGGTGGTGGAGTAGCTAATTTAAACTCCTGCTCTGCTCGTCAGTCGGTCTTTGAGTCGCCTTTTTTTTCATTTTGTTAATGGGACCGAAACGCACTGAATTGCGCAACACCTTGTTCAAACAATAATTACTGAGATTATTAATTTTAACACGTTCCGTAGATTTTTAAAAATAATTATTCTTTTTTAATGAAGCTACAAACGTCTAGGATCTTAGTGAATATTTTTGATAAGCCCGTCAGAAGAGGAAGTGCTGCTCTCAGCATCCTGGTGGCGTTCAGATTGTCATCTGCCGAGATCGACTCAAAACCTTCCGCGATCGACGTATTGGGCACCCCTGGTGTAGACCAAGTGTCCATGCTGGCAATGGAAATGGAAAGACCAGGGATGCACCATATTGGATTTTTGGTAGATATCCTTTATGCCAATATATTAAGACTCATTTGGCCAATAACCGATACCAATACTGATATTTTTTTCCTATACCTACTTACTGAAACTATATGGCTTTCTCTACTGTGGAACTAAAATACTGCATTATCTTTGTCAATGTAGCCTGCTACCAAATGCAAAGGAGGAGGCTGAAGACGATGCAGCACTTTCAACTTACATCATGTTTAATGTCAGATTTATTCAGGACATCTGTTCCCTCTAAGACAATGACAACACTCAAACAGTGCAAATTTGTAAATCTTCACAAAACAAAACTGAACATGTTCCCAAGAAACAAGTGAAAAGCACATCAGTGCATTAATACCTAACAGTTTCTTATGATGCTGTGCTGAGCTGCAGGCATCATGGTTTGCTATCAGAACAATGCCTTTTATATCGGTGAATTATTTTGTCGGAGCAGCCGATGTTCGATATAAGATTTTACAGCTAATATTGGCCAATACCAATACCATTCCAAAAATATTGTGCATCCCTAGGAAAGATTATGCAGAAATATACAATGTTAGCTACATAGTCTATAGAATAAATATAAAATTATAGATAAAATTAAATATGATTAAGGCATTTTACACTTTTTCTTTTCAGTTTTCTAGGGCCAGCAGAGAAGCATTTAGCACTGCTACAACTGGAAGACTTTTTAAATATCCAAAAAAAATTGGGATGTTTATTTAATCATTATTTAATATTTAATCAATCAGCAAAACAACTGAATGATTGAGCTCATTTTAATTTGTCACGCTATTACTTGATTATAGATTATTTCCACAGGATCAACTCTTCAAAGCTCTCCACACAGAAGAGCAGCTTCAAAAAAATCATGTAACTTAAAAAAAAAATCTATTACAATTAATTGAAGATGGTTTTCAAACAGAACTTAGTCCAAACAAAAAAAGGCTTCCTCATCTATAAGATCTTTGTAGATGAATGACAAAGCTCTGTGTGTCTGCAAAGAGTGCTTCAGGTTTTTTTTTTTTTTTTTTTTTTTTTATTGGGCAGTGAAAACATCTTTGAAGGAGCGGACTTTGTAGTTGATGGAAGTTTTTTGCCAGAAGAATATGAACGGAGACAAATATTTCATTCTGTTTAAGATTTATTGGTGATATTTGCCAATTGAGGCAGTAGATGAATAGAGGGACTAAAACTCATCTCGGTGTTTCTCCTCGCAGCGTTAATCTACTTCACACCTGGGGGTTAATGGATCCCAGATTGACGATTTTCAAGGGCACCTTTAGAATTGAAGTAAAAAAATGCTAACATTTGGGTCATGATTCATGTTTATATCATTTATTTATCAAGGTTTGATTTTCAGACGTAGACTGAAGTAAAGTCATATACATCGTGGCCTAAATTACGTAGCAGATAATTATGCATTTCTTTATACACTGTAAAACATAGGTAGTTCTCCTTACTTTTAAGGTACATGAAAACTTGTGGCCTCGGAATGTTTAGTTTTCATCAAATTAACTGATTAACGTTAATTTGTGCCATTCTAGTGAGCGTAACTTAACTTAATAAATCTATGCTCCCAAGTCTTATTTTTTGTCTATGTAAATAAACACCAAAGCTTTCAGAAGGCACTGTTCTTTTTAACTTGAAACTACTTATATTAAATGAAAATCCCTTGACTGAAACAGTTCCTGCTTGTTATTTCTCTACTGAAACTTTGAAAGAAAATATGGAAAGCTGTGATAGTTTGCTCCTTAATTTATTTAATTGAAGTGATTACTGTAACAAAAGTTAAATGCACCCAATTTACTTGATTAAAGTCAACATTGCAATTCACTGTACTTTGTTTCACAGCAAAACCTTGACCAAAGTCAAGTTAGAGTAATTCATCTTTTTCAATTAAATACAATGTTACAATTTACAGTGTGGAGTAACACAAGTAAAAAATATTCACATTTGCTGCTTAATTAGTCAGGCTATCTGCTGCTGGCAGCCTTAATTGTTCTTTCAGAAAGGTTAGTGTGATTACTACAGTGGAGCCCCGCCTACTCCTGGATTTTTTTCTTGGAGCAAATCAAAAGATTTAAAAACAAAATGTAGTTGGGGAAGTTGAAATACATAGGATCCATGCTACATGACGCACTAATGACTGTCGTTTGCAAAGCAGCCAATCTGAAAGTGCTATTTATTTTCCTTGGCACTGATTGGCTAGTCCCCCCAGAGGAAGACCACAGCTCTTCCTTAGATATTAGCTAGATATTAGCTTCTTCTAATGGTTTCTGCTGTGCTTAATAATACATAAGGTATATTAATGTATCAACAATTAAAATAGGCAGTCATGAGCCTTTTTTAGACGGGTTCTCAAGTATTTATGGATTTATGGATCTCAAGTTACAGTGGGAGTCCACTGTAACTATTTTATAAACTCCTATTTCCAATATAGACATCCAATTTTGATTATATTACGACTATGTGTATAAATACAATATTACTTGATTCTTTCTATGAAATATGCAAATAGTGAAACAGTTAATGATCCTCAATTTCAAAGGCCATTATCCATTTTGTTATTTTCACTTTGTAAAAGTAATCAGCTCCATATTGCCATTTCTTACATGTGTGAAATTGAGGCCAGTTAATGAAAAACAAATACTCATCTATTTATTTTCTTGCTACATTTTTGCAACAAATAAAAAAGGATCTTGTCACTATTAGACACAATGAAACGCTTGTTTTAGTTAAGATCTTTGTTTACGCCAATTTGGTGACTTTGGCCTTGAATGTTCTGCTTTCCTAGTAACAGAAAAAAAACATTGAAATCCTAATCTTGATAAACACAAAAAAAAAAAAAAAAAAAAAA